CTACAGGCTAGAAGATAAGATAATATTCTGACACACCCCCATAGCCAAAGTGGGGTGTAATCAGCAGAGCAGGCAAAGCAGTACAAGCTCAGGGTGGATCACAATGTCACCACACATTCTGAGCACAAGTTCAAGAAGAAATAGTTTAGAGTTCACAATTATGAGCAAAGCTAGTGGTAGTCACAACGGGCAAGTGAGGAGGAGGAGAGAGAGTAAGGGGAGAGGAGATAGGAGGCGACGGCTGAAGCTGCAGACACACGGGCAACAGGAGGCAGACTGACACAGCGGCTACCGGACTAAGCGCCCGGACTACAGGAGTAACAGGACCCGCGGCTCAAGTAGCGGCAGACGGGCAACGGACCCACGGGCGGCTGGCACAGCTGGCTACGACTGGGCTACCGGACGAAGTCCCCGGACTACAGGTGCTGCTGGCGACACGACGGCAACCTCCGTGCAACTTCCCAAAACAGTCTCACCCCCCCGACACACACCCGCTGCTACACCGCTAGCTCCACTCCCACGCACCCCCCTTAAACCCGAAACCCCAGTCTCCCACACAACCACCCCCCTCAGCGACAGCTGCAGCAGTGGGAGACGAAGGAGGAGGAGGAGCAAAGGGAGGAATGACACCGGCCACCCCCATACCCGCCACCCCACAGCGGCCCCCGAAGGAGCCGCGACGGGCGACGGGAAAAGGGGGGGGGGGGGGGGGGTGGGGGGGGGGGGGGGGGGGGTGGAGAAAGGGGCCCACCACGGGCCTGATAGGGTCGCAGGTAGGGGCACGGGGCCGGGGCCGGGGCCGGGGCCGGGGCCGCAGGTAGGGCGACGGGCCGCAGGTAGGGCGGCGAGGCCGCGACAGTGAGGGCGGCGGGTGGGCCGCAAAGGTAGGGCGGCGGGTAGCCGCGAAGGTAGGGCGGCGGGTGGGCCGCGAAGGTTGGGCGGCGGGTGGCCGCGAAGGTGGGGCGGCGGGTGGCCGCGAAGGTAGGGCGGCGGGTGGCCGCGACGGTAGGGCGGCGGGTGGCCGCGAAGGTAGGGCGGCGGGTGGGCCGCGAAGGTAGGGCGGCGGGAGGCCGCGAAGGTAGGGCGGCGGGTGGCCGCGACGGTAGGGCGGCGGGTGGCCGCGAAGGTAGGGCGGCGGGTGGCCGCGAAGGTAGGGCAGCGGGGCCGCGACGGGTCCCCATCGCCCGTCGCGGCGCCTCCAGAAGGCGACGCGACGAGCGACGGGGCAGACGCCCGCCGCGCGCCTCGGGGCGCACAGCGGGCAGAAAACCGCCGCGCGCATCGGGGCGCACGGCGGGGAGAAAACCGCCGCGCGCCTCGGGGCGCACGGCGGGCAGAAAACCGCCGCGCGCCTCGGGGCGCACGGCGGGAAGGAAAGCGTTGCAGCGGAAGCGAGGTGGTAACCCACCCACTGGATCGATCCAAAGGGATCGACCTGCTCTGATAGCATGAGAAAATTAGAAGAAAGAAAGAGAGAGGATTGAACTAGCAGAAATGGGGATACAAATAGCAAACCCTAGAAGGGTTGTACTCGCTATAGAGCACCCCACTACAGGCTAGAACATAAGATAATATTCTGACACATGTCTCTGAGAATAATCCAATGGTGTGCTTCTATATTTTACAACATTTATTAAAGCTAGAGCTAGGATGGTTTGCGTGACATGCAAAGTCAAGACTCTAATGAGCAACCCTAAAAATAATGTTTGTATGTCGCACTGCACTACACCTCTTCTACCTGTCAAACCCTTATGTAGAAACGAAGCCCATGGTTCAAAGTGTTCTCTATATCACTACGATGACATGGCATCCCAAGAGGATGCTTCAAAATTGATCTCATCCGGGATTTTCCAACCATGGAGGAAGTACTCGATATCGTGCGCGCAATACTTTAGGTGCCCCTCATCTCCCTTCTCCGGGTACAATAACCCGATACCCACATATACTGTCCATGGTAGAGTGACCTTGCCGTTTTCACGATCGCTCTAGAGGTCCGAGTAGTCAAGGTGACACATGAACCTATGGTGTTTTGGCTCCATTGCCATCCCATCACATGATTCACTCGTGTTTGCACCACAACAAACACGAACCATGGCTGCAACCATCCGCCCCGCTATACTTAGCTGCTCCTGGCTGTCAAATGGCAGGCCCAACGAGTAAGCACCCCACTGTTCCAGCAGTTCATATTGCTTAGGGAAGGCAACGGCAAAATGGGGCAACGACCGGCTGTATACTGGGAGAACCCTAACAAAAGGATTTTGGGTTGGTTGGTGCATGCGATGAATGCATTGTGAAAGTCGGTTGCTAGGTGGAGAAGGCTGGCTCGTGCTCACACGGCACCTGCTCGTGGTGGCGCTGGTTCGTCAACCGCCACACCAGCCTCGTCCACTTCAAACAGCTCATTCACTCTACCCAGAAGCCCACGTCGACGTTTCAACAGAAGACGCTCACTGCATGTTGGGACACAACAAGACACCGAGGCTAGATACACGCAAAACACAATGATAAGGGGAGTGTGAGGGTGCAACCCACCTGGGAGAGAGACGTCGCCGTGGTGTGCGATGGATTGTGGGACGTGCAATGATGCCATGGTGTGGGGCTGAGGGGCAACGCACACCTACAGATGGGAGGGGTGGAGGGATACAACGGGGAAAGAGCCATTATCTTATGTTGCTGTGGGATTGAATTGGTGGGAAAGGTGAGTGCTTATATGTCTCTGTAGGGTGGATACGGCAGGGGAAGGGTATAGCAAATGTGTGGATGTGGGGTTGATACAGAGGGGGGTATTGAGTGCTGATACGGGGCTGTGGGGTTCATACAATGGGGGAAGGGAGAGTGCTAATATAGTCCAGTGCGATTGAGACAAGGGGGGGGATAGGGGAGTGATCATGTTTGGGGCAGTTGGGTTGAAGTAGTGGGAAAGAGGAGTGCTAGAGATGGGGAAGGGAAGTGCCGGCGACGGGGTGCTAGCGACGGGGAGGGTGAGAGCTTATGAGTGGGCTGGGAGAGAACGCCACGAGGAAGGGGAGTGACAGGGACAGGGAAGGGGAGTGGTCGCGAGGGGGAAGGGGAGTGATAGTGATGGGGAGGGAGTGATAGCGACGGGGAAGGGGAGTGCTAGCGGTGGAGAAAGGGAGAGCAATTGAAGGGGAAAGGGAGAGATAGCGATGGGGAAGGGGAGTGCTTGCAAAGGGGAAGGGGGGGGCGTGCGTGGGGGTGGACGGGCACGCTAGCGAGGGGGAAGGCGAGAAAAAGCGACGAGGAAGGGAAGTGATAATGACGGGGGAAGGGGGAAGATAGCAATCGGGAAGGGGAGTGATAGTGACGGGGAGGGAGTGATAGCGACGGGGGAGGGGAGTGCTAGCGGTGGGGAAAGGGAGAGGTATCGAGGGGGAAAGGGAGATATAATGACGGGGAAGGGGAGTGCTTGCGAAGGGGAAGGGTAGGACGTGCGTTGGGGGGGAACGGGCACGCGAGCTAGGGGGAAGGGGAGAGAACGCGACGAGGAAGGGGCGTGATAGTGACAGGGGAAGGGGAGGGCGCGCATGGGGGGGGGACCTGCACGCAAGCGAGGGGGAAGGGGAGAAAATGCGATAGACTCGGGGAGTGACAGTGACGGGGAAGGGGAATGGTCGCGAGGGGGAAGGGGAGTGATAGTGATGGGAAGGGAGTGATAGGGGCGAGGGAGGGGAGTGCTAGCGACGGAAAAAGGGGGAGCTATCCATGGGGAAGGGGAGTGATAGCGATTGGAAAGGGAGTGCTTGCGACGTGGGAGTGATAGGGAGGAGGGGGGGAGTGAAGGCGACAGGGAAGGGGAGTGATAGCGTGGGGAAAAGGGAGAAATAGAGACGGGGTAGGGGACCGCGGGCGACGGGGAAGGGGAGTGCTCGCAAGGGGGAGGGGGAGGGCGTGCATGGGGGGAAACAGGCACGCTAGCGAGGGGGAAGGGGAGTGACTACAACCTGGAAATGGGAGTTGCGACAGGGAAGGGGAGTGATAGCGTGGGGAAAAGGGAGAAATAGAGACGTTTTGGGGACATCCAACTAACACTAGGAAGGATGAACCAATTTTGGCGTCGCGCCTATCCCGAGTCGACCCGAGTTCTAGACCTAGTCCAACATTTTCGACACTCCTATTGGTTCGCGGGTGTATAGCGTTTTCACTCTCAACCAACCTTCCTAAGGTTGAACTTCTTGGCCTGCGGGTTTTAAGGCTAACTCGCGTCACTTCCTAGATAGTCAATTTTTCTTCTCATCTAAACGTCTCGGATCTGCCCTAGGCGGCAGCGCGTCACGCTTCGATCATTGAGCGACCCGCCTATCTCACGCCCGCATCCCTCCCTTAGCGTCGCGCCACCCACTTCGCACCCCCCCAACCCACCCCCCCCCCCCCCCCCCCCCCCCCCCCCCTTGCGCGCGCGCTTTTTTCTCACGTACGCACGCGGCCCTGCCGTGGTCGCGCGCGACCGGGGTGTCCTAGCCGCGCGCACCCTTTTCCCCCATGGCGTGCCCCACTCGTCGTCCCGTACGCCTCCTCTCACTCTAGTGGGGCCGTCGACATACCCCTCCGCACAATCCGCCCCTTTACCCTCCTCCTCCTCTCCTCCTCTCCTTTCCTTCCCCTACCATTGTCACTATCTCCTCCGCCTCTCTCCTCTCCTCAACTACTGCAGCTGGTTGCCGCCCTTGTTCCATAGCTTCGCTCATCGACACATACCCTTTAACACAATCCGCCCCTTCACCCTCCTCCTCTTCACCCTCCCTTCATTCCTCTCCCATCTCACTCTCTCCCCTGCCTATCTCCTCTCCCCTACTGCTGCAGCCGGTTACCGGCTTTGCTTCGTAGTCTTGCTCATCAAGACCTACCCCTCCTCACCATCTGCCTCTTTACCCTCCTCCTCCTCTCTTCTCTCCCTTCATTCCCCTCCCCATCTCATTCTCTCCTCCTCCTCTCTTCTGTTCTCTACTGTTGCAGCTGGTTGCCGGCCTTGCTTCGTAGCCATGCTCCTTCCCCACTCTTCTCCTCTGCCTTTATTCTCTCCCCTCAGCGGCACAGCAGTTGACTACTCCGCCGTTATCCCTCCTCTTATTTCTCCCCTCAGCGGCGCAGCAGCAGACTACTCCGCCGTTATCCCTCCTCTTATTTCTCCCCTCAACGGCTCAGCTGCTGACTACCTCGCCCCTATTCCTCCTCTTAGTTCTCCCCTCATCGGCTCAGCAACTGACTACTTCGTCCCTATTCCTCCTCCTCTTATTTCTCCCTCACCGGCTCAGTACCTAGCTACCTCGCCCCTATTCCTCCTCCTCTTATTTCTCCCCTCAACGGCTCAGCAGCTAACTACCTCGCCCCTATTTCTCCTCCTTTATCTCCCCACATCTGCTCTATTGCTATCCCCTACCCCAGATGGGGCCTATTCTTGCTCGTACCTCTCTTCCTCTGCGCTTCCGCCTTCACCCTTCTCCTGCCGTACCTCCTCTCCTACCCTTGCCTTCCCTACTCTCCACTCCCTTCGCTGCCCCTTCCTCCCCTTGCACCTCTCCTACTTGCCGCTGGACCTCCCCTCTTCTCCACCCCTCTGCTTGGACTCCGCTGTCCCATCAGCGTCGCCGCTCTTCTACCAATGTAACCTCTAGCATTGGTTCACTGGCCCCCTGTCTTCAGTGTGAGCATGCCATCTCAGGATAGCATCTTTGGTGCTTCTCCTCTTATGGACCCTCGCTTTGTCGTTCCACTTTCTCCACCCCTTGAAAGCACTACCTCTCACCCTCCCAGCCCTACGGCTGCCGCTCTCTCACTTCCTTGCACCTTGGATTTTGTCCTTGACAGTGCTGCTACTGACTGTGTTTCGTGATGCCGGTGTCCTTCGCAATTTTCCTCGTCCCCTCTCTATTGATGGGGCTGGGGAGACCATGACCATGATCTGCACTGGCACTTCCTCTCTTCCCTGTCCTGCCTCTCCCTCTAGCCCTGTTACTGGCCTTTATGTTCCCTCTTGCCGTCATAACCTCTTATCCCTCCCCGCCCTCCAACGCCTGGGTGTGCGAGAGCTCTTCCCCGCAAGTGCACTCTATTGTGATCTTCATTACCACGACCCGCACCTCGCTCATTTCACCCTTTCTCCTACTACTCGCCTCTACACCCTTCGTGTTCCCATCCTAGCATCTGTCCATCACACTTCCTCTTCTTCTGCCCCTCCCATCTCCTCTTGCGACTGTCGCTCTCTCACCCAGCCTACCCTTCTTCTCCATCATCGCCTTGGCACCCCAACTTCCCTCTCCTTCAAAGCTGCTTCATGATCTCCCTTCCTCTCTCCCACCCCTTCCTCCCTCTCCCGCTCCTCCAAGCTCTCCCAATCTCCTCACCCATCTTCCCCTTCTGCCTCCCCCAAACCCCTTGATCTTGTGCATATGGACCTTTGGGGTCCCTCTCTCATTGCCTCCCGTCAGGTTCATCGTCACTTTCTCCTCCTTGTCGATGACCACTCTCGCTTTGCCACTGTCTATCCCCTCTGTGCCAAAGCTGACGCCCCCTCCTTCAACATTCGCTGGGCTGAGCAGGCGCGCCTTTGCTTTGGCCGTCCTGTCGCACGCCTCCTCTCTGATGGTGGTGGCGGGTTCTTTAACCACTCTCTCTCTCTTCTTACTGCTCCTCGCATGGCATTCGCCAAACCTCCACCCTTCCGCATTGTGAGAGTACAACGGCTTATGCTGGCTTTGCTAGCTTTCCTAGACTTCATTATGCTATTACTAGCTTGGGTTTTATTTATCATGCATAGAAATGCTTGATTTCCTAGGTTAGGTGCATTCCTATATTTTATTATAGATATAGCACCGAACCAGGTTACGTGTACCGAGCTCAAGCCTATTCGGTTTCCACCGAATTGCTTTCTACTGAGTTCGAGAAGGTTCTGTTCGGGACGCTTCGCGACCCTCAGAACATTAAGGTAACACCTGGGTAACTGGCCTTGTGTCGAGACTATATATAGCCTCGTGCTGTACCCAGGTGGATCCTTCAATTCACATTCTCTTTTTTGAGCTCGATCCTAGATCCTCATACTTGGTAATCAGAGCCTGTTTGCACGCGAAGTTTTTCGACCGCTTAAACCTAGCTTTTAAAACTGCGGGGGCGACGACGGAAAGCGCCGATTTCGGGTGGGTATACAAATTCCGCGCTATTTTTTAACGTCCCCCTCGAACCGGTTTTCGAACACTCCTCAGGTCCAGTGGCAAAAAAGTTGGAATTTCGACCGTCGGATCGATTCGAATCTCAACGGCCCTGGGATTTTTGCCCTAAAAAGTTGGAATTGGGAGCGTCGGATCGATTTTCTTCTCAACGGCCGAGATCGGACGCGAATTTCTACTAAGGGAGAATACGCGACCTACAGAATCAGCCCTCGTCATTTTTGTAATCAACTCGACTCACAGATCGCCTTCCTGGGGTGTCCGGACATTGAAGTGGGGACAGCGAAAAGTGCATTCCGCGCGTGCAAGAGATTGGGTAGGATGATGAGGTGGAGGGGGAACGAATCTGGACGTCGCAATTGTTCAGAGGTCCCCAACGTGCGAACACCCCTCCTGATCGGACGGTTGGGCTTGACCAACTAGATTTGAGATGCGATCACAGATCGTAGATGGAGTCGTGCAGGAAATTTTGATCGCACACTGGAGAGTAGGTGAGAGCGTGAAAGCAGCGTGGAAGCAACGTGAAATCTGCCACGCTGGACCCAGATAGTTGTACTTTTGGGGGCTGTCCTGTCCCAAGTTCGCAGGAAGGCGATCACAGTAAGATGACCAGCGCCTAGAATTCGATTGTTTTTGTCGCATATCTTCCTATAAATCGCAAATGGAGGAAAATGGTGATAATTCCGTACAAAAAATTACAAAGTTACATACCGACGTGGACCAGATGCGAGCGGCACTCCAGAGAATAGAGGAGCTTCTCGCGAACCAGTCGGCAGCCGCCATACCAGCAGCGAATGCAGCGGCGAATGCAGCAGCGACGTCAACAGCAGCAGCGGCGACACCGACACTTAACCCAGCAGCAGCGGCAGCGGCTATAGTGAATCTTGAGGCGGCACGTCCGAGGCTACCGGAGACGTTCAATCGATTCATTGCGACCCTCGAAATTTACTTCGAGGCCGTTGGCTGTACGACCCCGACACACGATGCAATGCGGATTCGGCTCGCAGCGACACTGTTACGAGGCCCGGTGCTCGAGTGGATTTACAATAGCAACGAGGTCCGAGGCGAGGGGTCATGGACGCAGATTCGGGAAGCTTAAATTCAACGTTTCGAACCAATCAACTCCAGCTACATGGCGCGGCAACAGATTCATCGGCACAGACAGTACAGCAGCCTAATTCAGTACACGCAGCAGATGGAGAGCCTCTTCAACCGAATAACCGACCTGACCGAAGGGGAAACAATCCAAGCGTATACTGAGGGGCTAAAGATGGAAGTGCGCCGATAGGTGATTGCCGCGGACTACAACAACTACCGCGACATGGTGTGTACTGTCAAATTATAATGTTGTCTAGGCTTTAGTGGGGTAGCCCATATGGGGTACACATTTCTAGGGTTGCATATTTGTATCACTCTCATTCCATAGTCATTTCATTCTCGTTCTAATTTCCTCATGGTATCGAGCAGGTTCCCTCGTGGGAACTGTGCCTAGGGCCCACCACATCGAGATTTTTTTTTCCTGCCCGGAGCGCGCTCCCCGAGTCGCCCTCCCCTCTCTGCCCTCATCGAGCCGCCCTAGCGGTCCTAGTGGCCTCCCTTGCGCCGCCCTTACGGCCCGTCGCGGCCCTCACTTGGCTTGTCGCCACCCTAAGCGACCCGTCGCCGCCCTCCCTTGTGGCCCCGCCGCACTCTGTTGCGGCCCCGCCGCCCTCACTTGCGGCCGTCGCCGCCCTCAGTTGCGGCCCCGTCGCCGCCCTCACTTGCGGCCGTCGCCGCCCTCAGTTGCGGCCCCGCCGCCCTCGGTTGCGGCCGTCGCCGCCCTCACCTGCGGCCCGTCGCCGCCCTTCCTTGCGGCCCCGCCGCCCTCACTTGCGGCCCCGCCGCCCTCGCTTACGGCCCCGTCGCCGCCCTCAGCTGCGGCCCCGTCGCCGCCCTCACCTGCGGCCCGTCGCCGCCCTCACTTGCGGCCCCGCCGCCTTCACTTGCGGCCCGTAGCCGCCCTCAGCTGCGGCCCGTCGCCGTCCTCCCTTGCGGCCTCGCCGCCCTCAGCTGCGGCCCCGTCGCCGCCCTCACCTGCGGCCCGCCGACACCCTCACCTGCGACCCCGCAGCCCTCAGTTGCGGCCCCGTCGCCCTCGGTTGCGGCCGCGTCACCGCCCTCACCTGCGGCCCGTCGCCGCCCTCACTTGCGGCCCCGCCGCCCTCAATTGCGCCCCCCCCCCCCCCCCCCCCCCCCCCCCGCCCTCAACTACTGCAGCGTCGCCCGAGCCGCCCGAGCCGCCTCACCCAGCCGCGCCGCCCTGCAGCAGCACAACCGAGCCGCCCAGCAGCGGAGCAGCAGAGCCGCCGAGCTGCCGAGCCGCCCTGCAGCCGAGCCGCACTGCAGCCGAGCCGCCCAGCAGCCCACCAGCCGAGCCGCCGTGTAGCCGAGCCGCCCAGCAGCCGAGCCGCCGAGCCGCCGAGCCGCCCTACCACCGAGCCGCCCGAGCAGCCCTGTCCGGTGAGCACAGCCCCTCTGTCACTGCACTGCCCTTCCCTACTGCGTGCACTGCTGGTCTACTGGTGTCATGGCTACCCCTAGTGTCCTAGCTTTTGACGCTGAGGGTCGAGCCATTGACTTTGAGGTCTGGGTCGACGACCTGCAGCTGTTCTTACAGTGCGATAGGGCACACGGTCTCTCTCTCTCTCTCTCTTTGACCTCACCTCTGGTGCCTCTCCTGCCCCTGCTGCTGATGCTGACCCCACTGTTCGCTCCCAGTGGGCCACCCGCGATGCTGCTGCACGTCTTGCTGTGCGTCGCCACCTGCCTACCACTGAGCGCGCGCACTTTAGTCAGTACAAGAGTGCTCAGACCTTGTACGACGCTGTCGTTGCACGCTACTCTTCCCCTGCCACGGCTACACTGAGCCGCCTCATGCTACCGTACCTCTTTCCTGATCTTGCTGCCTTTCCCACAGTCGCTGACCTCATTACGCACCTCCGCACTAGTGACACTCGCTACCGCGCCGCGCTTCCTGCTGAGTTCTGCACCAAGAACCCCCCCCCCTATGTACATCACTCTCTATTATATAGTCACCCGCCTCCCTGACTCCCTTCGCGTAGTCAGGGACCACTTCCTCTCAGTCTGTCCAACCACTCTCACTGTTGACCTCCTAGAGAAGGCCCTCCTAGCAGCGGAGAAGAGCATAGTCGCTATAGGAGCCTCTCGCGGTGACCCTCGCGCCCCCATCTTTGAGGGGTGTTCCCCTTCCCCCCTGTTGCCCTCTGTCGCCTCTACTGCTGCGGCCAACCTCGTTGGTTTTGAGTCGGTCGGTGCGGCGTCTGCCCCTAGCGGGAGACGCCGCTCTGGCAAGGGCAAGGGGGGCAAGGGCGCGGGTGGGGCTAGCGGGGGTGGTGGAGGTGGCGGTGGAGGCGGCGGAGGGAGTGGGGGTGACGGTGGGAGTGGT